TTTATATACTCTGGGACTAAAATGGCCCTATGTAAATAAATAAGGGACTATTTTGACTCTTTACCCCTATCAATTATACTATATTAAAAGAACCTTAGACATCTCCAATTCATGATTCTGCAGCTTTGCCAACCACTCAATATCTTCTATTACACTAGTGATTTCAATCTCTCACATAATTTCTTCATGACATTCCTTGATGTCTTTTTTAACTCATTGTGAGATTTTATGATACCATTGTAGGCTTCTAGAAGGTTTTAGCTGTTGTTAATTAGCATGGGAAGGGGAATATGGGTCATGGGAGGTTGACAACATTTGCAAGGGTGTGAGGTGAGATCTGTTGTTGGACACCATATTCGATCGAATTGGTTGCTATTCTGATTGAAAACAATGGGTCAATGGTGAAACTACAAGGTATGGATAACAAAGGGGATTTTCCCTTTGTTCCTGAGCTAGATACAAACACCACTTGCAAAAAGAAATGGATAACATTCTTTAAAGCATAAACCAAATATTACAATCTTTACAATACATAAAATCCAAGCCAGTTGTCCCAAACTTTAAATTATAAAAAAATAAGAGTTCCTTAATAGAAAATAGCTTAATTAGATTTTAAAAAAGAAAAATAATAAAAAAGGAGAAAATTGGGCTAAAATCCGGAAAAAGTCCCGATTCAAGCTTAGTGTGGAAGAATCTTGTCCCGGTTCCTGCATATGCGGGAAATTGATCAAGTGTGATCTGATCTAGCGATCGCAAGAATATATAGAATCTTGTGTCTTGTTTGCCCTGGACATAATTTCCTATTATACACGCGTCACATGTCATTCTTCTCAAGTAGGAGAGGCTTCACCTTCACTGGAAGCTTCAAAAACCGATCTATCACCACCATAATAAAGTCATCATTGTGTTGTGTAAATTATAATTGCACATAGACTGGCATTCTCATGATTCACGTCTCGAGCTATTAAATTATAACTTATTTCGCCCATTTTTCGTACCTAATTGGCTGTATCCGATAAACAAATCTATCTGGGGGAATTGACCTTGGAATGAAATCGATGGCTGGTTAGACCAATCTTGGTGGTAGCCTCTTGAGAGGTAAAATGGCAATTAGGACATCTGAAAACCCTTTCAACAAGGGCTATCCTTTTTTTGGCGTTAGCACCTTGGGCTCATTAAGTTTTAAGCTAATCGAATATTTGTCCTGTTGGAGTTTTTCTCGTGGGTTGACTTGATTCACTTGCATCTCTCTCTCATCGGGTAGAAACTAATACTCCTCTCTGACGTCTTCATTATCTTTTGTGTCACTGTCTATTTTTTAACTGTTCCATGTTCAATAAAAGATATCATCATCATATTTGGGCAGTGTAATTCAATCTGCTTAAAATTGTGACACTTTAAGAAATTCTTGACTATAATATATTTGGGAGGCTTGGTTGTCTCCATACTTTTTGCATGCTGAATGGATGTCTCCTCTGGCGGGTTAGGCTAGGATGCTCCATTACTTGTACTCTTTTTGTTTAATCTTGGGGTTGAAATATGTCTGTAAGGTATGGCGGTCACTAGGTGATGTTGTTGTTTCTTCACATTTAAAATTAGGGTTTGTACATCAAGTAGGGACCAATATGGCCGCAACTGCATCAATACTAATTGACATTCTCAGTCTGCCAAGATACTTCACTGTTGTGTGTTCCTCTGATTCCATGAACTTATATTTGAGCATGAGGATCAAATTCAGCTGTGTACCACACAAAAGCATCTCTCTGGCATAGGTGGTGAAGTTTTATTAACATTTCCCGTTGATAATATGGGAGAAGAATTTGTCATGTATCTCCCTTTTAATTTATAGATTAGGTAGTGATTTTACGCTTTCATTCCAACTATCGAATACTCTTCCGGTTCTCCTGTAACAAAAAAAAAGTCCTTTCTGAGCTTGATTGCTGTCAATATTAACTCTCTTGTCCTAGGGAACACTTCTGTATTAAAAAATTTGTTCCACTATTTGGATCCACTGGATAAACGCCCGAATCCAAGCGACTGTTAAAATCCGATAAATCTACTTTTAGTTCAAGAACCTAGTTTATTTGATATTCCATGCCAAATCTCCTAGAAACTAGTTTTTTCGTCACTGAAAATTTCCTGATGGTAGATATTCACTTTATTCTCTTGATCTAGCGAGTCACTGTTATGGCTATGATTGACCTCACTAGATTGTCTTCTCTTAAAGGCTGCAAATCTTTCTTGTAGTTGGACAATTTTTCATTTCATATTCTTCATAGTGATCTTCGAACACTTTGTTGAGGGTTTCACCTTGGCGGCATGACATCCTTCTCTTCTGATAAGGTTTTTGGTTGATATAGAATTGTGAATTAAGGTAAGTTGGAGGCTTAGGTTTTAATAGTAGGTGTCAGAGTAGATTTTTGGTGAAGTTAAGAAGATTTGATTTTAAAAACTTTTTGTTGGAGTTAGGAATTGCGGTGGGAATAATTTGGTTATGATGGGGGCATTTTTTTGCTTTGAAATTTTGGATTTGTGGGCAAGAAAGCCAAATTTATAAAAATGTAGAATTATTCGAGCTTTGATACCAAATGATACCGTTTCATGGCTTCTTGAGGGGGTGTTTGGCTGCAGGGTAGAATTTACGTCAAGTAGGATTTATCAAATCCAAATTTTCTGCAAGCTCATGACAGGAGTGAAGGTCGCAAGCAACAACATAAATCCATTAAATCTGACTCTGTGGGATTTTTTAAATCTGGATTTGCAGACGGAGCAGGAATAAATTCAGCTTAATGGAGCGTTGGATTTAGTTTTTCCTTTTTTTTTTTTTGTGTTTGGCTGGATTTAAGTTAAACCATGGCTATATCCTGTTAAAAGTGTGCTACCAAACACCCCCTGAAGGTGTTAAGAAGGGCATTTAGCCGGGAAGTGGTTGTGGAATAGCAAGGGAAGAGGAATATGGGTGGTAGATGGCGTTTGGAATGGAATATGAGGTGAGATCTCCTATTGGACAGTAAATTCGAGCAGTTCGGCTGGCATGTTGACTGAAAACAACGGGTCGATGGTGAGATGACCAAATGTGGATGGAGAAGAGGATCCACCACATATTCTTGAGCAAGATGGAGGCACACTGCTTACAAAAGGAAGATGATACAACATTCCTTAAAGCACTAATTTGAGATTAAAATCTCCACAATACTTAAAATCCAAGCTAGTCTCAAAACAACAAAATACAAAATACATGAGTTCCCTAATAGAGAATAACTTGGTTTGAAATGGATAAATAGGAAAAATAAAAGAAAGAAGAAACCGCTAAATTAGAAAACCCGAGCGGAAAAGCTCTGGCTCAGGCTTAGCGTGATGGGATTCCGTCTCGGTGCCTGCATACATGGGAAATTTCCATGGATCTAGCGTGATCAGATCTGGTGATCGTGACGATATGCGGAATCCCTACCTTGTTTGCCTCGGACGTGATTCCCTGTTATGCACTCGAGTCCCACATCACTTTGCTTGCACTATGGGCTTCATCTGCTCTGATGACCCACTGGTATCATCGATCTCAAAGCAGATCTTCCTCTCCTCCTTTTTAGTAATCTTTTGATGGCATTATCCCAGTTACTCTTCAGTTTTGAGAGTATTACTGTAGCAGTCAGCCATGGTTATGTGTGATTGCTGGAGGGCTTCACCATGACTTCTTAGGTAGCTTATTTTGTCATTTCTTCAGTTGATGGAAAGTTGGAAACATTGAAGCTCCTTAGACAGCAGTAAATGGGCATTCACATCAAAGCGTCCAAAACCATTACAAAGAGCTCAAGTAAGACAATTTTTACTTGGTCATAATGTATTTTTACAAGTCATTGAGTCTGAAAATTACATGCCAAGCCAGGATATTAGAGTTTTCAGTATAATTATTATCAATCACTTTAACCAACACAACTTTTGAATCTCAAAATAACAAGCAAAACTTGCCAAAATACCTCGAGTTTGATATCTTTTTGTGTAAATGTAGGCAGCATTTGTGATGTACAACTCAAGGGTCATAATCTTCAATACAAAGCGACTATCAGGTAGCTTCGCAAAGTAGCTTTCACATTGGACTCGCCCTCTAAATTTCGTTCACTAGCCATTGAGTTGGCTTAAGGCAAGTCTAGTTTTAGTGTTAACGATATTGGTCCTTAAACAGGGGAACTAAAATTTCATGCATTTTAAATTTTTGGGAATTTTACACACCTAGTACACAATTCTTATGTATTTACATATCCACACCTAAACTTTAATATTTACATACATAGCACTTCTTAGTTTTAAACATATTCATGAAAAGGTTTATTTCACTTTCAAAAAGTTATAGCTGTGATGTGATATTAAAGAATTGAGTGATGTATGTGTAAATTTGAAAGTTTAAGTGTGAGATATGTAAATACATAAAAATTGAGTGCTATGTAAATGCCCCATTTTTTTTTCCTGCTTGAAATGGTGCAAAATTCTTGTACCGGTGACAATTGACCTAGTCAATGTTCTTGTCTGCAGATTCCATTGCTGCATGGTCTGAAGAATTTGAAACATTAAAGAAAATTTTATTGATTTCTTATTATGAGCCCACAGTTTTGTGCTTATGTCAACTTATCAAGTTCTCATGTTTTGAGTTAATCACTAGTAAGGAAAAGGTTTTCTTTTAAATGCTCTATAAATACCGTTATTGTGTGGCTGCCTTGTATTATATATAACTCATGGAGTTGTTGATTTTATGGTAAACTACTTGTTAACCTATATCATTCTATTTCAACTTGCAGTATGATTATACTCTGATTTTTTAATGTAGCCTTCCAAAATTTCTAATGCCCAATTTGAGCTTCTGTTGGTCGACTATTTAGTTGATTTTTTTTTTTTTTTTGCATATGCATGGATTAGTTTTTTTTTTAATTTTTCAAATTATTTGGTAAATGCGCTGTCTTATTGCAATGGAAATTTTTTGCGTGATTAATTTCGCTTCATCAAATCAGTTTGCACTGGAGCTTGGTCATTATATCTATCTCGGTGAAGGAAGATGAAATACGCCCTATTATTCTTCACCTGGATTCGTTGGGTTTGCATATAAGCTTACTAATTTTTGATGTTGTTCGCCGGTAAGAAACCCTAGATGCTTTAATATTATATTTCTAGTGTTCATTTCTGTTTTTGTTATATCTTGTACCCGGAATTTTTACATGTGAAAATTACTTTGGTACTATCTGTTTGGAAATTCAATAAAATCAGAGCCTGATGTAATATTTAATATGATATAAAGCAGTTTAATGGATTAGAGATGTATTTGGCATAACTGTTGTATCTCACTTCATTGGGGCCAGAACAATGAATCCTCCTTCATTACTCCTATTAAGTGCCCATGAGATGCTATCTTTTAGCCACATTTCTTTTGGTTCACTTATTTCAATTATTGCAAATTAGGTTTATTTATTTATTTTATTCTTGGATCTTTTTTTCATTTTTGTAGTCTTATAGATTTTCAAATCACTTGGGCCAAACTGTTGTACTAGGCGGCTGCAACAAATACAGAGGGCTGGACAATGGTCGAAACAGCGAAATGAGGGAGAGAACAGGGACGGTGGCGAAGGTGGAGGGTTGGGACTGCGAGGATAGTGAAAATAGGAGGGAGGGGAAGACAATGACAGTAGATGGAATGACTGCAGTGGAGTTGGGTAAGGATAAATACCCCCACGGGAGCGAGTTACAGCTGGGAGCACCACTCAATCCCTTGGAAGGAGATCACCATCTTAGACGAGTTACAACTATAGCACTTTCTCGCTTTCGAATATAACCTTAGAAGGGAAAGCCCGGGATGTCGACAACCGTTCTGACAAAAAAACATCATAAAAACTAACTTTCAAACTTTAATACAACAAATATATAGAAATTGACAAAATGAATGAAAGATAATAGGAATGAAAATATAAGAAAGGAAAACGAGACTGTTTTGGCGGCTCTTCTCCCGTCTCTTGCGATATTGAATCCCACGGTACTGTAGCAGCCATAATGAAAATTCTTTGGAAAAAAGCTCCTGCGTTAGTTTTCCAATGTTGGGGGAGCTTTAACCTCATTCATCGAAGCTTCTGTCTGCATGTTGAAAGTAGTTGAGTTGTAATTTCCCTGTGTTTGGGGGTCTTTGATTGCTGTCTGAGAAGCATCTGAACCCCATTGGCGATTGCATTGTCCCCCAAAACACCCGAGGAGTTATCGCTACTTGTGAGTAAACATCCCCAACCATTTGGGGATACCCTGCAGAGCTGAACAGAACTTTGTGCCAAGTGCATCCTGCTGAAAGCAACCCAAGATTGGTTCAACTTGATATGGGGTGAGGACAATCTAAATCTCCTTGAATGGTGGTGGCGAGGGTGGTAAGCTGGCGAACAAGATGTCCTGAAATTCTCTGTATTAGTTGTCTTGTGTCTGCTACTGACGCTTTTCTCTCGCGGTCCTATGTCATCCCTAGGACTGATATTTTTGATGCTTCTCTGCCGGCAAGGGCATCTATAATCTCGAGCTCCGCATAAGATAGGATTATGCACTTGTCATTTTTAGTAAATGAGTGGGTGTTCATGTACTCATCATGTTGAGTCCTGCAATCATACTACCACAGTTTCCCTAGCAAAATGTGGTAGGCATCCATGGGCACCATATCACATCAAACCTTATCCTACAACTGACTCTCATTCAAAAACTTTATGACACCTATCAATGTTGATCTTGTTCTCCCTCTTCAACCATGTCAGTGATTATGGTTATATATGTCTCTGAGTTGCAATGCTCAAATTATCAACCATCAGTGTAGACACCATTTTCTTGATGCTAACCCCATCGATGATGATGCTACCTACCTTTTCTTTCACAATGCAACAAGTGTATAATATATTATGGTGAAGCCATTGTTGCTTTCTCGATGCCTTAGTCTGAAAGACTCGTCTGATCACAAGCATCACCCCAATCTAGTGAAAGCTGATACTCACCCTTTTCTTCAATTGCTTCATGATTGCAAACTTCCTCCATTGCCCTTGCTCGGTGAATGTCAAAACTCAGCTCGTCGTGTAACTTGGAGCGATGTATCAAAAAACACAACGCCTTAAATATTTTCTGGTTGGGACTGTAGTGGGCATGTTACTCTTCTGAGGTTTCTCTCTCTCGAAGTGGCTATGGCTTGCTCTTGACTAGCTGGCTCCACTCCCTGAGTCGTGTTCTTTCTGAGATCTCCAACTGTGGGTTGTTTTCTAGCTGGCAGTGGTTGCCCACTCGGCTTATGTTGTCTCTTCACTTTCAGTGCTAAGGTCTGTACACCCTTTAGCGTCCAATAGGGTTGCAGCTAGACCACATTACTAATGGTAGCTTGAAGCCTCCGAAATACCTGACTACGGCGTGCTCCTCTATCTCCTTCGGCTCATACTTCAACTTAATTGCATAAATTTAATTGTGTACTCCTCTACTGATACTCATTATGCTGCAAATAGTGGAGCTCTTAGAAAATATCCTGGAGATAGTTTGGGAGTAGGTACATTTCATCTTTTCCTAAGAAGTAATTCTATCTTGTTATTCTCTGTCTCCCTCTTCAGATTTTCCCATCACAAAAAAACATTCTTCTGCTTGATGGGGACAAGCTTTACTATTATGTCATCGAGTACCTCCTTGTATTCAAAGAACTGGTCAATAGTTTGCATCCATTTGAGGAAGTCATTTGAATCTACTCTCCTCGAAGTTCGATAGGTCCACTTTTTTTTCTCACATTTTTGAATCCTCCAATGGGCAATTCATCTTTGTATCTTTCAATAGGCTCCTTATCTTTGTATCCTCCAGTAGACAACTCGTTTTTATATCTTTCAATAGGCACTTTGGCTCTAGATCGCTGCTGATATTGTACCATAAAGCATTGCAGACTGTCTTATTCTATATTGGAATTATCCCTACGGAAGGGATTCAGATGTTTTGCTTGCTCTTCCTCACGGCTTTCACTATTACGGTCGACGATGATCTTGTTATGGTTTCTTTCCTCAATGGCATCGCAAGTAACTGTTATTTGTTGTTCATAGTAGGTTCTTGATCAGATTTCGGCAATTGGCTTGGCGGTGGCGTGTTTGGGGTTTTGGGTATAGGTCGGTGGAAGGAGATGTGTAGGGCAGGGGACTTTTTCTTTTGGGTTGGGAGATGCTAGAAACTTTAAGATAGAACTAGTATCAGACTAGTTCTCTACCAAATGATATCAAAATTAACTCAAATCACAATAATAGAATAAACACATGTTATTACTAAAAACAAATAGATAGTTACAACCAAGCACACTTGGAAGGGTAATTTCAATAAAACAAGACAAACTCACACTAGGGGTCAATCTGAGGGTTTTGGAGATCAGCTAGGTGTTCAACAGTGGTGACAGGAGGCTGAAATTGTTTCTGGGTTGTCGGGACAGCAGGAGTGGTTGGAATTATATTGGTGGTGAAGCAGAGGACCTGAAATGGGAGCGACATCCAATGAGAGGGCTGGGACAACAAGGGGCATCGAAGGGGAAGGGTTGTGAACTGCAACACAAGACAACGAAGGGTAGCAAGGCGAAGGTTGTGAATTGCAATACAACAAGAGGAGTGTTGTCCCGGGGTTGCGATAGCGAGTGGGATGGCTAGAATAAATGAAATAGGTGGTTGGGTGGCTGGTCTGCAGGAAAAGAAAGATAGCAAGGTTTCATTCCGGGGCGGTTGCAGCACGTACAGAGGCTGGACAACAATCGAAACAGCGAGGCGAGTGAGGGAACAGGGGTGGCGGCAAAGATGGTGGGTTAGGACTACGAGGACAGCGAAGGGGTGGGAGGGGAAGGCAATGGCGGTGGCTGGAAAGGCTGTGGTGGAGTTGGGTAAGCATAAATATCCCATCGAGAATGAGCTACAGTCGTAAAACCACTCAATCTCGTGGAAGGAGATCACCACATCAGACAAGTTATAGTTGAATTACCGAAATCTGATCTAATAATTCAGCACCTTCTCGCAATCATTTGTCCGATCATTAATCTAATCTAATATTTTCCAATCATTAAAATTCAGCACCTTCTTGCCTTCAGATACAACCCTAAAGGGGGAAACCTAGACACTGGCGGCTGTCCTGACAGAAAACAATATAAAAACTAACTTCCAAATCCTAATACAACACATATATAGGAAATGACTAAAAATGAATGTAAGATAACAATGAAGAAAGTATAAGAAAGGAAAACGAGATTGTTTCGACGGCCTGTCTCCCGTCTCCCTTGATTTTGAATCCTGCGGTACTGTAATAGCTACAATGCCGTGAAAATTGTGTAGGAAACTGCCTGCATCACAATATCTTTTAATGGGGGATAAAGCGGTTCTTTCTGGGTACAATTTCAACTCAATAAATTAGTATGGGGACTAATTTAATACTACTATGGGCTCTGAGATTAAAATAACCCTTTGTAAATATTCAGGGGACTATTTTGACACTTACTTTCGAGCTATTCATGTAATACTATTAAGAATGGTGAAGGAGGATTCATGAAGTCAACTCCTAAAAGGTCTAATAATTCTAATGATGATGACTATGATTACAATGCTGAATTTTTCTTTATTCATTATTATTTGCTACATTGTAGAATGTGTAAATCCCCTGCACTGCTGGAGAGTATTATTTGTTTTTTTTATCCAAAGGATGGATAAATCACCCCCCTTCAACTAAAGTTAATGACACATTTACTTTTTAATATCAAAATATGAAAGAAAGTGTTTAGAAAGGAAAAAAAAATTCGTTTCTTAGTAAAGGAAGTTATATTTGTTAAAAATGGATTTCCCCACTCTACTAGTAATTAAGCAGATTCTCAGTTAGAGTTCATATTATTTGTTCCCTGGAATTTCTATACATTAAGTTAAGATTATACTCTGTAGTTTCTTAACAGAAGAATGGAGGTACGTGAAGCAAAATACGTCTTCTCCACATGTTCACACTGGAGAAATGATATCGAATGACCTACCTTTAAAAATTGACAAGAAAGAAATCAAGGTATTTCTATGCTTCTTCTATTTTGCTTCCATGCGTTAAATTATTCGTAGTTTTTAGCTTAAATTCTTTTATAGCCACCTCTGAGTAGTTCTTTTAGTAACTACAACTCTTCCGAACGACATATACGATCATTTGAAATCTGTATTCTTCAGGTGGCCATTTGAAATCTTTAGTCACCAATATAATTAGGTAGTAGGAAAATCTGGTTACTATTTATTTATGGGAAAGAGCTTGTGGAACATTTCATTTAGCATGAGCATTGTGATGCTATGCTTAGATTTGTTTACTTATTTATTTATCTTTGGAGTTTGAAAAGCCCGGCCCATCTCCATGAATTCAAAACATTCTTGAGAGAAATCAAGTCTAAAATCAACATACACACACATAAACTTTTAGGGCAAGTTTGGGATTGATTTTTTTTTTAAAGTGAAATACCCATTTTCATGAGCCGCACGTTTAAACACTAAAGTGCTATGTATATAAATATGAAAGTTTAGATGTGAGATATGTAAATTCATATGTATTGTGCGATAAGTATTTAAACTTTCCTTTTCTTTTTTGTTTTTGCATTTGTTTTTAAAACAATGTTTGTTTAGTATATTTCTTACGTGCTTTTATTTTTTATTTCTGAAATCAAATTAACATATTTTTTTAGTTGTTTTGAGTGTTTTCAAAAAATCATATTTTAATCAAATATGTCAAACATATTATATTTTAAATTAAAATATGAATAAAACAAAATAATAATAACAATTAGAAAATAAAAAATAAAAATGATTTCAAACGTCTCGTTACTTTCCCATTGGCAAAACTGCCACCTGTCAAATATTCCAGACTTCACCAATTTCTTATCCATTTATAAGGGTGCCTGAAATATTTGGAAATGCTCAGTTGCATCAGTGCTTTTAAGTAAGACTGGTCGTCCTGTTAAGCAATGTTGGGTTTTTTAAATTAATTATTTTTTTTTTCGGACATGGTGAGCACTCAAACCCAACCTGTTGAAATTCTTCATTCTTTTTTTCGGCCAGTGTGCTACACATTGCAGCACATTAGGCATTATAGTTGAACCAACATTTCATAAAATGAACCTCGTAGAAACCTTAAATTTTGCTATGGTCAGTTTGAGGTTAGATTGGTGGTTTTATCCTTCTTGATTTTAAGCTAAAAACTAGATTTTTTTATTCTGTCACTACTTGTGCTTGGCAGGGGCCATTCTATAAAAGGCAACCTGCTATTGTTTATCATCGTCCCTATTCCTTGATAAGGTTAATTTTCTGGTTGATTATAACAAATCAATTTTACAATGTTTGATAAAGATCTCGTCTGATCAGGCTAGATTACCATTGTTGTAGTTTTAGATAAAGATCTCCATCCCTTATATTATTCATTTTTCTTGTATATGTGTGTGTTTATATATAGGGGCATTTACATACACACACACACACACACACACACACACACACACACACACACACACACACACAGATATATATATATATATATATATCACACAATTCTTATGTATTTACATATCTAACACCTAAACATTCATATTTTAATGCACACCATTCAAATCTTCAACGTCATATCAAAATACCTCGATCGCTATTCTTTTTAAAAGTAAAATACACATTTTCATGCATAGATTTATGAAACCAAACTGTAACAAGTGAAAAAGTTGAACTTTGGGTGTTGGATATGTAAATACATAAAAATTGTGTCATATGTATATAAATTTCAATTCTTATGTATTTACATATCTAACACCTAAAGTTCAATTCTTTACATATGTATGCCACATTTCTCATCCACAAAAAAGTTTATTTCACTTTTTAAAAGTTAAAAAATGATTGTTCTTTTGTGATATAAAAGATGTGGGTGGTGTAAATATAAATGATAAAATGTAGGTGTTGAATATGCTTGTAAACACATAGGAATTGAGTTGTATGTATGTAAATGTCCCTAATAATAATATGTATGTGGGCTCCAAAAATTAAAAGACCGCTCATCAGGAGACTCTCTGCATTTATTTTTATGTTATTTTGAGAGAGAGCTTTGGAGGGTCTAATTTTCAGAAGGCAGATTGGATTGTAGATAAGACATTACCCAGAGATTTTGTCCTCATTTAGTGAGCACTTTTTGATCTGGAGTTCGAGATTTTCCATAAGCGTATGCCTCTATGATTAATTATTCATCTCGATGATAGGATAACACTTTCGATTAAGACTAGTTATTATGAATTGAATATTCAACATACAATAGAAGCAGACTTAGATTTTAAATTTTAGAAATCACCACTTAAAGCTTAAAGCAGATGGTGGGGGAATGAAATGAAACCTGATAAGATTTCATGGTTTTGTCATCCTGGATCATCGTGGTCTCCGATCTATTTAGTTAGAGGAAGTAGTCGACACAACCTGACAGAAGGATTTTTATCAGCAGTCATGGGTTGTATCGTCCACGAGATTCTTGTAGATCTGGGATAGATATTTGTCGAATGATATAATTTTAAGTCGATCTTAGCTGACAGAAGGTTTTATGCCAATCAATTATACCATTATGATTCACAACTAAAAGTGTAGAAAACCGTTCGAGAATATACGGGTTACGACCCTGACCGTAATATAATTGTGTCATTTGGCAGCCGGTCAGAAGGCTCTAGTCGTAACTTTTTTTGTGGTGTCGTTTGGAGGCAAAACCACACGGACAAAGAGCTTGGGTCACGTCCTTACTGGCATGTAATTACTTTAATTGTGAATACATTGATACATTTGATATGACATTCACTCTCTGTGAGCTGAAGTTGATAAGAAGTTTGTCAGCTTCAATAACTGTCGTGGAGGCTGGATTAGATTTGTTTTAAGTCTTTTAAGTGATTCAATTTAATTTGAATTTTTGGTTAATTACTTTGAAAAATCTTATTTAAAAGTTTGACCCCCTTCGGTTGAAATTTTAGATCAACACGCCCATCATCAGGGATAGTTGCTTGATTTGAACCTAGTCAACTTTACATCTTGCTTGTGAAAAATCGGGTTTAGTATGATTGTATATGAACCTTGTCAAGTTTGTTTTGCTTACATAGGATCAAGTTTGTATATATCGTTTAAATTTATTCAAAATGATTTTGAAATTTAATTTTGATACTAGACTCCTCCGATTGAAATCTTCAATCAACATGGTCATCATCAGAGAATTAAACATTTTAAAACGTTTATGTTTGAAGAATGCATTAAAATTAGTATAAGTCATGTCGACTCCTGTCTTTATGAGGAGAAGGATTAAACTTGTTTGGTGATTTGAACTTGTAAATTCTTATTTTAGGATTTGAACATTTATTTTAAAATTACCAGACTCGTCAACTCTAGTCTTTGCGATGAGGATCAGACTAGTTGGTGGGACTTACAACTCTATCCTATAGATGAGGCAGCCCCATTAACCAACAGAGTATTCTCGAACCAAGTATCTAAACATTCTATATGTTGGTTGTAGCAAATGTGAGCATTTGAAAATATGTGTGATTGATTTTTTTTTATATATTGATCCTTAAAGCATATATAACTAAAGATTATCTCAAGTAGTACTCATGTAAGCCTTAAAAATGAACTCATATTTCAAAATATTTCATTTGACTTAGAAAATAAACATCAATTTCATGTAGATTTTTAAATCATTCAGAGCCTAAGTATTTGCAAGAGCACTATGATTTTAGGCTTTAAAAAGGGGACCGTCTTCTGTTCACTAGCAGACACATTAAGAATTCGACGGTGGGGCTGAAATATTAATTCTTCATTTTAGCATTTAAAATTAACATTTATGTTTTAAATTTAGTCCCAATTTATGATTTATAACACTTAATATATGCTTAGCTCTAATGAAGTTAGACCTTTAAGGATTCATGTAAGTTTAGTCGGTTCATGTAGATTTATTTCAACTATATATATTGCCAAGGAATTATTGAGTAATGTTCATGATTTTTAAAGAATTATATTTGCGAAGTGGTACTTCATTATACTTATTATGCTAATCAGAATAGTCCACTTTTTTCTTTTGTTGAATTATGTCTGAATTTCTTTTATTCAGCTTCCATCGGAGATTGGTAAATTGAAATTGTAATTATCACAAACTTATTTGTTAATGCAAAATCAATTCACAACTAATCAATCAATTCTTATATTCGGGATTATATTCGGCTCATCCCGACCAAATTTAGGGCCCCTTTTGGGGAGGTGGGAGAGGTGCGGTGCGGTCTGCCACGTGTTTGGCAAGATTATGTTTTGTTTGTTTTCTTAAGAAATTGCGGCGAAAAACTTGTGTTTTACAACCTGATCTGATTTACAGTGATGGTTGTCATAAAATTGCAGTCTTAATTTTTGAAAAAAAAAAAAAAAATTGTAATAGCCATTGCAACTCCTTGAACAACAGCTTTTTCTGCAGCTATTTTTTTAAACAGCTATAACTACTCCAAACAGGCCATTAGTCTGCATTTTTTGTTTTTTTTTCATACTTCTTCTTTACCCTCAACCTCCCCATAGTTTAAAATTATTCTATTTCACATTACCTCAGATTATTCATATACCTGAACAGTGTCATTGTAATTTCATAACTTTTTTCACCCGCCATAATTACTGCTCTTTATGCCAGATATCGACCCTTATTACCACTTAATTATTCGATTCATTTTTTCTTTTATTTCATCAGGTACCACAGCAAACAAATGAGTATGATTGTGGCGTTTTCGTCCTGTATTTCATGGAACGATTTATCAATGAGGCTCCCCAAAGACTCAACAAGAAAGATCTTAATATGGTTTGCCTAAATTTATTGCTTTCGTTTTTGAAGATTTACGTACTACTCAACCCTAAATATATATGCATACATACATACATACATGCATACATACATATACTACGTTCTTTATGCATGAAAAGGTGTATTTATTTCACTTTATGAAAATTGAACTTGTGGTATTTTTGATGTGATGAAAGATTTGGAAGGTATAAATGTAAAAAGTGAAATTTTGATGTCAGATATGAAAATACATAGGAATTTGGTGGTATGTATGTAAATACCCTTCTTCTGTTTTTTTTAAGTTTTACATACATACCACACAATTCTTGTATGTTCATATATCCAATGCTTATATTTTGATATTTATTTACATAATACTTCAATATCCCAATCACATCAGAATATATGCATGAAAATGTATAACTCCTTTTAGAAAACTTGATTTTGGTGGTAGCCTTGATGTGATTTAATGGTCTCAACATCATATATATACAAATACATAAGAATTTTGTGGTATATATGCATATTTTTTTTTGGAATATTTGCTTCCATATCACTCGGTTCTTATGTATTTACATGTCTAATATCTAAACTTCAATCTTTTACGTTTATGCCGCCTCATGCATGAAAAGATTTATTTCACTTCCTAAAAGTAAAACTAATGATATTGTTGATATGATATGAAAGATCTGAGTGGTATAAATGTAAAAATCAAAGTTCAGGTGTTAGTTATGTTAATACATAAGAATTGGGTGGTATGGATGTAAAATGCCTGCCCTCTTTTTTTCGTTTTTTACCAATCAAACCTTTTGTGTCTGCTCTTAAAAAAATTAGCAGTTTGGTAGCAAGTGGTTCCAGCCTGAAGATGCATCAGGCTTAAGGAAGCGGATGCAGAATCTGCTATTAGAAGAATTTGAGAGTTCGAGGCTGCAGTGTGGAAGAGAAGGAAGCCATGATCGCTCTGCTAGCAGCTCATCTGAACCTGATGAGCAGCAGGAGCTCACTTTTCAATCTTCTTAAGAGGTAAAAATTCCTGCTTTCATCTCCTCTTATTGTTACATACATGAATTATTATTATTTTTTTAATTTTTTTTTTTAATTTAGAGCATAGATAAGCTATTTAGATATAGAAATGAGTTCTGGAATAATCTTTGTGGAAAGTTATAGAGGATGGGCTTATAATATTGAAACATACAGGCAGTGTATATAGAGAGATTTTGTTTTTCAGTATTAATATTAATGGAATTTTGAAGCTTTTTATATATTATTTAGTATGATATGCTTGGTTTTTTAAGCATATAGAAGATTAGTTTTTGTGCCCTTTAATTTAATTATTTGATTGGAATAAATGTCTCATTAAAATAATATAGTATAATACTATAAAATATATAAAAGTATTCATGTGATAGGGTTGGTGTAGCTCTTGTGACAGACAAAATTAGAGAAAGTTGTCTTAGATGGTTTGGTCACATTAAATGTCGACCATTTGATGATCCGATTAGAAGAGTAGATGTTTTAGATTCGACTTGTGTTAAGAAAGTCAGAGGTAGACCTAGGAAGACTTGGGCTTATTGTATTAAAAATGATCTTAATTTACTAGAACTAAATGAAAATGTAACACTAAATGGGACGCAATGGAGAAAAAGGATTCATGTAGCCCACCCCACATAGTGGGATTAAGGCTTTGTTGTTGTTGTTGTTGTTATACTATAAAATATATAAAAGTTAAAGCAATGATGGATGACAAATTATTTATCAATGGCATTTACATGCATACCAATTAATTATGTATTTACATATTTTACATCTAAACTTTCATATTTACATTCTTGGCACTCGATTTTTTAATAGAATACTATATTATTTACTTATTAAAAATATAATATATGTCTTCATTTGTTATGATACCAAGATGTTATGAATGTTCAGGTGTTAGATATGTAAATGTATGAAAATTGTGAGAGGTTTGTATGTTATTTTTTCGTATTTATTTTGTATTTTTATTATGGAGCATTTCGATACATAAAATCCGATTTCTATACATCTTCGTATCTAATATCAAAATTTTGGTTTTCGTATTTTTATCAACCAAATCATTCATATAAAGGTGTAAACGAGTCGAGTCGAG